TAAAAAATATATATATATATATATATATATATATATATATATATATATATATATATATATATATATATATATATATATATATATATATATATATACATATATATATATATATATACCAAATATGTATTTAGAATCATATATGAGTAGAGTGCTCGATATACCGAAGTATAGAGCTAATATAGATAAAGATAAAATAAACTTGGTTTACTTCATAAGATTAATTAAGATTATTTTTAATCTTATGAAGTAAACCAAGTTTATTTTATCTTTATCTATATATATATATATATATATATATATATATATATATATATATATATATATATATATATATATATATATATATATATATATATATATATATATATATATATATATATATATATATATATATATATATATATCAACTTGTGGTTAGGGCTCGACAACTGGACTCTGTAGCTCAGCTGATTAATAGAGCGCTGCACCGTAATTGCAGGACCGCAGGTTCTATTCCTGCCAGAGGGCCTATAGTTGCATTTTTCGCAACTGCTCCTGGTTAGATCTGATAAATGTATAAAATTCCACTCGAAATTTCCATTTCACGATTAGTTCTATCACGTGAGATATGGCCAGAAATCCTGATATTTACCTGTTTTTGTCTCTTAGAACCTCGCCACAGACGTCATTCTTCGCCGACACATAGAAATGCGGTCAAACGTAGAACCAATATGGGTTCAATGGTCTACTCTAATAACACTGTTGCTGACCAAGAATCCGGGAGTTTGGAAGATGATGTATATATGCCGATGATGGCTTACAGTGTTGGCACGTTGGACCAACGTGGAGCAGAACCATCCCATTTGTCGAAATCTCGAACTACGTGTAAGTATATATTGTACACATACACAGCCAATTCAAAAAAGGCCGGTTGTCCTTCAAAAAAGGTTGTCCTTCAATAGTCTTAAACATTGAGGGCAAGGTATGATGGGTACTGCATGCTTATTTGGAGTCTAAGTTTGGTCATTAGCTTTGTGAACCAAATATAATAGCCCTACATCGAAAGTGTTCATTATACATGCCCTAACATTGTTGCAACCGCAAATTTCCCGAGGCAAATGTTTAAGGTTTAAGATTTCTGAAGGACAACTTTTTTTGAATTGACTGTATCATTATTTGTGAAGCCTATTAATAATTCATGCGCGTCGTCGGGGGATTATAGGTTGCATCATGCCATCATATGAACACCTTTTGTAGATGGTAATCTTATAGTTATCTAATCCCCCCCAAATTTCACGATATATAGAGGCTGAGCTTAATTTTTAGCCTATCAATGTCTTTAGGGCACCCTAAGTTATAGTTAGATATATATAGTTATAGCTTTGTTACACAGTTATTCAGCTATCATTCAAAAGCTTTCAGAAAGTTTTTTTTTGGGGGGGTTGTCCTGCCCCCTTCTAGTGTCCACCATTGATCAAACTGTTGGAAATCCTAGTTATCGTTTATTCAAACAATGTTTTACATTCAATCCAACTAACCAATTCTACATACATTCCATACAATCTCTAAAACCTTACAGTAAGACAGTCTAGAATAATGCCTATAAACATTTTAACTACAACAATATTTTACATTCATATTTTTACTCCAAAATTAGGAACAAAATACTTTAGTTCACATGTCATGTTTTAACCACACAAAGTTCTTCCCCCCAAACCTACTCAACTATATAAGATTTGCACCTGAAGTTTGACCTGTGTTTGTTAATTAAAGGTTTTTTATTTTCAAAGCTTCAGTACACAAGTCTGCAATGACAACACAGTCAACGTTTGGCCAGCAATCTTTCTTGGAAAACACCACAAGCTCCATGAACGATTCCAGCAATCAAAACAACCATGACCATCCCAACATTGATGACCTCATGTCTTCTTCAAAACTCAAGATTTGTTTGTGTCCTCCTGATGCAGAGTTACCAGGATTTGATCGCAATGAATTTACGTAAGTTAAGACCACCATTTGGTTTTAATTATTTAACAATTATTCACCGAAGGCGAGGTGATTATCGGTGAATAAAAACCGAGACGAAGTCGAGGTTTTTATTCACGATAATCACCGAGCCTGAGGTGAATAATTGTTTTAGTATAATTTCATAGGTGATTATTTGGAAAAAAATTAAAAAATGCACATTTCTTCGTCTTTTAATTAACAAAACGGCTTCGGCCGCCATTTTGAAAATCGCTTAGGTGATTATCGCGTAATAATCACCTCAACGGTAACCAATCAGCGTGGAGAATTTTCAATAATCACCTATGTAATTATACTAAATTCTGTTAACCCATTAACTGCCAGTACTCTCCCCTTGACGAGTAAAATCGTCTGTCGGTAGTAACATTAGAGCATTAGAGCACATTGCCACTTACATGTAAAGGGTTAACAAGACTCATAAGCATGTAGTGTGATTAACTTAATGAGTGCAGGACTCTCCCATTAACGAGTAAAATCGACTGGCGTTAGCCGTTAGACAGAGTGAAATAAAGAGGGAACATTAGCGCGCATTGAACTATGGTCCCAGAAATTTTCATATTAATACGTTTGATAGCATTGCCGCTTAAAGAGTTAATTTGCGTTTCCTCAATAAAAACACTGGACCAGCAAGTGTTGGTTCTTACTGGACTTCTATGCAAAGCAATGTAGATTTATATTACAATATCTTTATTCATTTAGACTGCTTCAACTTCTCCACTTTCCCCGAGAGCTTGCTCGACAATTAACTCTGATCGACCACGAATTATTTCGCGACATAACGACTGCAGACGTCTTGAAAAGAGTTTCCGAAGGCTCGCACAAGAAACGGAAGAAAGGCGAAGATGATTTTGAAAGAACCACGGTCGAGTTATTTTCTGATCGTTTCAATCAGTTAAGTTCCTGGGTGGTGGCTAGTCTTATTAAAGAGGAATCCGATCAGAACACTGCTGATATGTTCATACAGTTTATTGAGACTGCCAAGGTAAAAAATGATGTTTTAATTTAGATGCGCCATACACACTGGTTAGCACATGTGCCCTCAACCTTTGTAACTGTGTTTCCATTCCTGCAATATGAAATTTTTGAGTTCTCACTTGAGAAGTGCTTCCAATTGTCTTTACGAAACACCACTGGTTTATTTATACAATATCTTACCATAACATACCTTGTCATAACATACCATGCCTTACTATAACATGCCATGACATACCATATCAGACTACACCATACTAGACTACACCATACTATACTAAACTACACCATACTATACCATACTAAACCATGCTTTACCCACACCTTAGCATACTGTAACATACCATACCTTACCAAATCAGACAACACCATAACATACCATAACATAACATACTATACAATATCATACTTTACCATACTTTACCATACTTTACCCTCACCATAATATACCTTACCATACCGTACATATCATACCTTACCATATCATATCAGACCACACCATGACACTATATTATACCACACCATACTACACCAAACCACATTACTGAATGGTCTGTGCCAGTGTAGGTGGTGCTAATAATAAGAAAACGTCGACGAATGGACCTTTCACCTTTTGACTAAAATTTAGATCTCAACAAGTCTGGACAAAAATTTTATCACAGCTTGAAAGAGCATCACAAAATTAGTAATATTCCAAAGTTTCATTGCGAAATGTTGTAAAATGCGGATAATATAGCCTTGCGAAGTACATACCTCCTTCGAAAAAGGGGTATGTATTTCCCGTTTGTAATACAAAATGACTGAAAATTGCAAACTTCGCAAGGCCATATTATCCGCATTTTACAACATTTCGCAACGAAACTTCGGAATATTACTAATTTTGTGATGCTCTTTCAAGCTGTGATAAAATTTTTGTCTAGACGTTTTGAAATCTAAATTTTAGTCAAAAGGTGAAAGGTCCATTGATACAGCCACCTGTAGTAGTCACTAGTAATATACCATATCATGCCATAGTTTACCAGACCATACTTTATCATAACATGCATGCCATGCCAGCCATGTCATACCACACCACACCACACCATAGTATGGAAGGAACTAGGCTGACCTCTGAAAGATTATCACCTACTTGAACCGCTCATTAGGTAGAGCATTGGACTACCAAACTAAAGGTCGCAGGTTCGATTAACACTACGTTCAAGCAGTTTTTCAGCTTGCCCGGTGTGGAGTAACTCAAAGTACCATCATCTAATACAACTACTGTTCTTTTAGCAATGTCTTGAGCTACGCAATTACAATGCGGTAATGGCCATTGGTGTCGGGGCTCTATGTAGCGCTCCTGTGCGACGACTACGCAAAGCCATCCCAGATCTGATCCCGAAAAAATATCTTGATCAACTGCACATAATGGAAGTACTCATGGATTCCAGGGAGAATCACAAGAAATATCGTGAATCTTTGAAAATCTGTCCAAGTCCTGCTGTGCCATATTTCGGTAAGCTTATTAATTTGTCTTTTTCTTATTGAGAAATTATTTACTCCGGTTTCATCTCACTGGGAATGATGACAGGGTGGGTTGGGATAAGCTCCAAACTGACCCTTAATTCCACCGTATTGTAGCTGTGCTACTTGATCAGACATGAGCCAAGATGGCTGCCAGAGGCACCCTTAATTTAAAAAGCCTTCGACTTGATCAGGTTGAGCTGCGTCCTTCGTAATAAAGGTGATTCATCAGTTTTGCATTGCGCACTTTTACTGCGCATATCCAGTAGCAAATTCTAGCCAATGTATGTAATCAAACTGCTATGTAAAGTAAGGGCAAAGAGAAAAACACTTTGCATTCATTAGGCGTGCTTCAGGAAATATACCTTCAAAAATGACAGTACTCTGGCTAGGGCTTCTGTGCAACTGACACTAAACCACATCATGATGCATGTTTAACCCTTGAATCTTTTTAAGAGATTCTACAACTTATAATACATTTCTATAACTTATAATATTTTACATTTTTTGCGCATGCTTCCCAAAATAACAGGTCTGGGAAGATGGGAAGACATCTTTGCACCACGACAATGCACGTCAATGGTTTTTGATTCGCTAAAATGCCATGTTTTCGTGTATATACAGGATCCTTGTTAAAAAAATTCAATAACGTTTGAGCAAATGCGATTGTTCCTGTAACTTGTAAAAGGGTCAAGATGGCGCCATGTGGGGGAAAAGGTGGCATATTGCACTTGTCGTATCTTTGAAACGAGTTGGGTGACCCCATCTTTTTTTCTGTTTTTACTATGTATGAGCATTTCACAAGCTTCACCCATGGGAAGTTTCAGCAAATTCTCATTTCCAGAACAATTACTGATGAATCACCTTAAGCTTGCCTCACAACCGCAAGTGAGGATGAGTATAGCACACTCACATTTACTTACTTATCACATGTAAAAAGATTGCTTCCGGTTTTCTCTATCAGACACCACAATATTCTCCGGGTACTCCGATTTCCTTTTGTAGTAACACTAAACCAATAAGGTATAATAATTGCTCTTACTTTGTGTACCTCTAGGGAAAACAGTTAAATAGAGCTATCTTTCTTTGGATGACCCTTACTGGGTCTGTATGAAGGACAACATAGAACAGATAGAGCTATCCATATAAATAAAGTTAGTTGCTTATTTATAGTGGAAATACGTTTCCTAAAGTACATCACTTTACTCTTTCTCTAGGCGTGTATTTGAAAGATCTAATATATATCTCGGAAGGTAACCCAGACTACCTTAACGGTGGCATGGTCAATCTAGGCAAACGTAGACTGTTGTATGCAGTGCTACATCAGATCCGAAGATTCCAAGTTAAATCATACAATTTTGAACAGGTATGTAGATTTGCCTCGTTTGTTACAATGTGCATATCGATGCAATGTTTTTATGAGATAAGTTTTCAAATCTTTCTCCTAGGTGCCCGAAATCCAAGAATATCTTTTGAACACAGAGCGATATACGGACGAAGAATTGCATCGGATGTCTCGTAAACTGGACACGAGTTCCAGACATACCATATCTGAAGGCAGTCGCGAAGTATCTATGTCTGTATCGGGTGTCTCGATTGTGTGAACGCGGAGGAATGAGGACGAGCGAGTTACATGACTAAGGTCAGATAATATTTGTGGTGTATGCGATCTGTAGTTGGGCATCGCATCGGTGAAATCCGAGAATTATTGGTAGGCTTTTTCTGTGAAGAGACTTTGCCAATATACAAAGGTTGTGTTTTTATAAAACTAGTCGAGTTTGGTGGAATATTCCATGACAATTAAGGTTAGGTAGCCTTTGCAAAGTGAAAAGAAGGCAGCTAACCTATAATTGAATGGGGAATTGAAGAACGGAAATGCTGAGGATATGGATATCAAATGCATAAAATGAATGTGAGCAGTTGGTAGCTAGGTTTATATGTGTGATAAAACATGTCGAGGTCTGTTGCGTGGAATGCAGATAACCTTTGTTTTTCTCCAAGAAAGTGGATTTATATATGGAACACGAGATGACCTTTGCTTCGCCTTTTGGAGTTGTGTTCAAGAATGCAGTATTCATTACCATACACAATACCGTATTCTCGAGACTTTAAATTGGAGATTGCTGCAAGCTAGCGTATTCTTTGAAGAATGAGCCAAGATATCCAAGAAAATATGTGCTATTTTGTATCTGAAAAAAGTTAAGTGTACAAAGACATCAACATTGCAAATGAGTGAAAAACATTTCTATTTAACAAACGCATTATTTTCATGTCTACATTTTGAAAATAGAAAATTCAAAAAAAAATATTAACATAGGAACATGGTAGTACGTTCACCGACCTATAGATAGATATATAGTATTGTATTAAGTGTACATTGTACGAATCAGTTGTAATGCAAGCATACGTTTTGGTTGTACTTAGTTAAAATTTCCAAATTTTATACATGGAATTTTGTGTTGTTCCCATATCTCACAAAGACGCTATGGCACTATACACAATTTTGTGTGTCGAAGACGTGTTCTGCATCGCGCTAAATTGCGAACGTGTAGTTGAGACTGCAATCATTATGCATTGTCAAAATATTGAACTGTTCAATCATCATTTGTGTTTCACCACAACAGACTTGTCATTAAATAATTTTTTTTCTACTAGTCTTTTTGTCTAAGGCAAAGCAAAGAAACACACACTTAAGCTTGGTTTCCAAATGGTCGTAACGGACGTAAAGATCGTGTCACGATCTTTCCCATCAAGATTGAGTCGCGTCCTTTTCTCATCAAGATTGAGTCACGATCTTTCTCATCAAGATTGAGTCACGATCTTTCTCATCAAGATTGAGTCACGACCTTTCTCATCAGTCGAAATACAACATTTTAGAACTGAAAATACGCGGAGTGATTATAACTACTTCTGATTTATATGTGGTTTACAGGTATAAAATGTTACAAGCTCTCTGTCGAGAAAGATCGTGACTTTATTTTTACGATCATTCCGACCATATGGAAACCGGGCTTTATAGGAGTATATTTTATAATTGAAAGCCAGTCAACCGTAGCCAGAACTAATTGTTTTTCTAGTAACGTTTTTGCATTTTAAATTTCAAGTGAAGATTGAACCACTGATCTGCCAATTAGGACTCCGCTGCATGTGCATAAATGAAGGCAATGGCGGCCATTTTGGTGTGACCACCACAAATCTACTGTGGTTTTACTGACTTGCTACAACGTTCTTGAGCTCAACTGACTTGTTACAAGTGTTGAGTGACAACCTTTTAACAACTTGATAAAATAACAACATTGTTACAAGTTTTTGAAAAGCTTGCTACAAGGCTGTTGCTAACGCATCTCGTTGAAAAGTTTTGAGATTGAATACTTGCCGATTGAATTCAAAAGATACTTTATCCAGTGCTACTATTTAGGTCAGTGGATTGAACAGTTGAATATTTTGATATGCGCATTTTAATGTCTCGCCACGCGACACACCGAATTGATGTATTGGAAAACATATTTTCCATTGTACTTTAAAATCTTTTCGCAAGATTCAAATTAATGTTGTGTAGAATAGATATTTATTACTGCAGACTTTGATATTATTATATGTGTAATTTAGGCGTGCATTATTGTTGCATGTAAACTTTTTTCTCTGAAGGATCATCTACACTATCTGGCAAGGTGATCACGAAAATTGTTTTTGTTGTGAACCATCCTTTAGATTGTTGATGTCTGTAAGATAGTGCATAGGGTTGTCACTATACTAGAGTATATTTCTATAACAAAACCGAAACGAAGATATTTATTTTATTTAATAAAATTTCATGATAAAGTATTGTTTGTATTTGATATTGTTGGGGCAGTCGTCACAGGAACCGTCACCTCTGTCGTGGTTCACCTCTGCTGTGGGTTTGATCACGCACGAGAGAGCATGCTATCATTTAATAATATCCATGAAAAAATTATACAGGAACAAATTCATACTGAAGCAAATTCAGCATACAGTCACTTGCGTGTATATGAAACATGTGAAGTAAATATTTATTCACTCATTTTAATGACACAACAACTTAATACAAGTTTTCAACTGTCAGAAGTTAAAACTTAAATAAAAATATTTTGGTTTTGCCGCTTGGTGGGTTAATTTTTTTTTGGCACTGCATTTTGATATAATTGCACTCCTCTTAGCCAATTAGAATCGAGTATTTTTTCATGTATATTATAAATTTGGGAACTTGACAGCATGCATTTTCCTATATATAGAGCGTCGCCCCTCGGCATTGCCTTAAATAATTGTTTTATATTAAGTATCTCTAATGTGATAGTGTGTTTACTTACACTGTTTACATGTTGCTGAGATACAGGCGTGAAGTTAATATACGTCTGAGTGCTTGTAAGCACATCTGAGTGCTGCGGTTGACAGAATATATATGCCCGAGTTTAAGTCGCTCTGGAACTGTCATGACGTCTGTGTTTGATTAATGACTGCAGTGTTTTTTCTCAATATATTCCTGCTTTTTCTAATTACAGGTATAAACAGAAGGTTCCTTAGAAATTCTGAAGGAGTTTTTTTCCAGGCATCACATATGGATATCTGAAGGTGCAGGGGGGGGGGGAGTGGGAAATAGCGTATTCCCCTATACCCTGGCCCTTCTCCCATATACACAAAACTCTGAGCACCTTCAGAGAAACTCGTGCAGCATCAATATGGGGGGGGGGAGTGGGGAGAGCGCACTACCGCCTAAAATTTAAGTTCACCCCTTGAAACATTTGCGCTGCCCCTGGAATATGAGCAAATACCCTGAGAACAACGAAATCGTTTTTGTCTCGAGCAAATTTCGAACTCTCATCTTTAGGTTTATACACCGATTATCAAACTAGATACGCGAATAAACGAATATTTGAATTTGGCTCAAGAATTGTCTCTCGTATAATGATTAATAGGAAAGGATTTTGGCATTTCTCTAGTGTTATTTATAATCTCTATGGTAAATTTGGCGTCAGTTTTAGAACTTACCTTATCATTTGATAATTCTATTTTAATTGACTGTTTTTTACTATTATTTTAGAAAGGCAGCTAACTGTATAAACTATAAAAATATTTATAGGTATTAAAACAGATAGTTTATTAAAAGTAAACAGTTTATCAAAAGTTTGAATATTTTAGTCATAATATTAATACATTAGTTATTTACATTAATAGACCTCAACAGACACTATTAGTATAGGAAATTACACTTGCTCTCCAAGTATTAATGAAAAATCACACGCGTCCGCGAGCAGAATTGATAAATATTTCGCCAAACCCAAATGTGATTTTTCATGATTTTTCATGATTTTTCATGAATACTTTGAGAACAAATGTAATTTCCTGTACAATAATCATTTTATAGTCAATATCATTTTATAGAGCAATCAATGACAATGACAAGAAACATTGTCATTGTATTATAAATGTATTCAAGCGAGTACAGCCATAATCCCATTTGCGCCTTTGTGATCAATTTTAAGATTGATTTTCTGACACTCATTCATAATTTTCAATTCATATATAACCTGGCCCTGGGCGTCCTGGCTGTAAAAACTGAATAGTTTTTATTTCTTTTTTCTTTTCTGTTTAATTTAAGAGCTCATTGGCATTGCAGCTCAGAAGTTAGAAATTTTCACGTTCAGTTTACATATAGCAACCCAATAGTTTGGTGTGTTAAAAATTTGACTAAAATATTCAAACTTTTAATAAAAATGTTTATAATATGACGAGAATGTTAAGGCCCCGCATTTCTTCATTTCTGGTTGCGTACATACTATTAAGTTTTATGTACTATTTAAAAAACGAGCAGGAGTGTTTTATTAGGTTTAAAGCCACGAGCGCGCAGCGCGAGTGGCTTTAAGCCCGTTCTCCACTAGGCGAATTTGTTCGCGCGAACAGTAAAAAAGTAGGAACTGATCCAACTTTTTCGCGGCGAATTTTTTCGCTGACCAATCACATTGCCAAGATTTGTTTTTCGCTTCGCGTCGCACGAAAAAATTCGCCTAGTGGAAAACGGGCTTTAGACCTAATAAAACACGACCTGCGAGTTTTTTAAATGGCTTCAAAAACGTTTGCATAATAAGTCAAATCTTTATATAAAAATCTTTATATAAAAATCTTTATATAGTTTGCATAACAATGGTCTTTTGTTAAAGTGTTCTTTAGCTGGTATAAAGACGTATGCAAGTGACTAATTTCTTACTCAAGATTGGATAATTGCTTCATGAATTATTAATGAGTTTTTGAATATATATTAAAAAATTCATTAATAATTCACGAGGAAAATACAAAAGAAATGAATGTTTAATCAATGTTTGTAAATCGGATAAAGATTTCTCCTGATTTACATAAACTTCAGCTTTGATTTTCTCGGCTTAGACAATGTTTATTTTTAAAATTACTTCGCCAATGAACTTATATAAGATGGGTCGTTTTTTAAGTACCAGATAAAACATTCGCATCCGATCTATATCTGATATATGCAAACTCTTGCCTTCGGCTCGAATTTGTATATCAGATACAGATCGGTTGCTCATGTTTTATCCAGTTACATAGAGAGCACAGAATAAGGAGGTAGAGGGTGAGATGATGAAAATACACAGTGAAAAGCGGACTCGATACTTTTGTGCGAGTTCACTCGTTCGCATCAGTCAGAAACACAAAATCGCCGACAAAATAGTGCCTGTGTGACTAGCCTGTGAACAGGCTCTCTTTGAACTCTCTTTGAAATTTGAGAGAGAGCCTGCAGGCCTAGCTAATAAAAACGCGTCTGTGCGTTGCTTAGAACGACGCAGGGTTCCCATTGGTTGAAATTGAATTAACTACATTATACTGCCATAAAAGGTAATTAAATTCACACAACAATAGATTCAAATCGAAAATATCGTTCTTTTGCGACGAGGTGTATAGAAAACTAAATCTGTGTTTAAAGTTAAAGGACGGGCAGTCAAAAGCTCTTAATAATATTCTAGACGGAAACGATGTTTTAGCTGTACTATATAAGAGAGTTTGGCAAATACAACGGCAACGTTCTTATATCAACAATAGCATCTTTACTCCAAGACAAAGGCGACTATAATTTGCATTCTTGAGCATTCTAGTACGCCGTAGTTGTTCAAACTCAAGTCGTTGCGGTGTTTATGTGAATTCACAATTACTATTGCTACTTCAGGAAATTTCAGGGTTGTTTGAAAGAAAGATAAGTGCTTTTAATGTTGTTGTAAGTGCGTTGAAATCTAGCCTCCTCCGCAGGCCTCTCTATGGGTTCTAGCCTGCGAATGGGTTTTCCCACCACCCGATTCGTCGGGTGAGATGCCTGCGGAGGAGGCTAGTTGAAATCAAGATATGCGTTTTGTTTATATTCGCAGGCTATTACATAAGGCGTGTCTGTATTAATTTGTCACATTGTATTTTACATTTGATTGACAACACTATAAATAGTGATGGGCACAGACGCATTTTTATTGACTAAACCGGCAGGCTCTAATTCAATTCAAAGAGCCTGTTCGCAGGCTACTGTGTGACAGGCTTTAAGACCCGTTTACACTTGCAATAGTTCTGGTGCGATTTTCTTCTGATGCATGTAAACAAGTGTCTGAGGGCCTGTTCATATGATCCCGCTTACCGGGACGTCTCGCTTACCGAGACGAATATTTCCGTGCGTTCATATGGAGTATTTCGTCCCGCTTGCCGAGATGAAGTTACATTGTTGTTCTATAATTAGCGTATGCAAAACTTCTACATTTCAGTCAAGCAACACAAATACTTGGCGATTTTAGTGTTTTTCTTCGTTTATTTACAAGAAAAAGTATTGCTTCAGGTGGTTATATAATACTTGTTTACAAAACAAACATAAAATTAAATTAAACCGGCAAGACTTGTTTCACTTCATCCCGGTAAGCGGGCTGGCGTGTTCATATGGAAAAATTTTCATCCCGCCTACCTATGATCTCGGCAAATTCAAACGAGATCTCGGCAAGCGGGCCAGCTCGCTTTCTCATATGAACACAATGCAAAATTTTATAGGAAAATAGATAGGCGGCGAGATCATCGGTAAGCGAGACGTCCCGGTAAGCGGGATCATATGAACAGGCCCTAAGTTACGAATGTTCTGAGTATACAGGCGTTTCAATTAAGGTTGTCTCCGGGCAAAGCGGAAAAGTCGAATACGAGCGCGAAAGGTTTGCCGCGCTTTTTTATTTTATTTTATTTTAAAAATTTTCCCCATGTACAATAAATTTATGTGTAGTATATTTACAATAATTGTAGAGTGCGGGCTAGAGACCTACTAGAAATCTTAGTAGACTTTTTATTTAGGTCTCTAGTTATGCTAGTTTGTATTGTGTTATGTAATAAATTATTTACAGTCAATCACAATATTAAAGGAATATATATATATATATTATATTTACAAGAGAGAAAAAGAAGAGAAATTGTTCTTATTATAGAAGTGAATATTTACAAGAGAGAAAAAGAAGAGAAATTGTTCTTATTATAGAAGTGAATACCAATGTTGTAGATGCATTTGGGTTCTTATAAGAATTAGACTAAAATATACTATTAAATTTGTCATAGCAGAATGTTTTATAGCATATCTTATACATTGTATAGTAAGAAATATTGTTTAATTTGCTTTTTGAAAGTGCTGTAGAAATTTATATCTATAAATTTTGTTTCTATAATGAATTCCATACGTCAACTCCTTTATTTGAGAGAGTGTGTTCTGCATAATTTGTTCTTTTATAACATTTGTGAAGTTTTGATGCATTTCTCGTGTTATATTGATGTATTTGGTTGTTTGTC